TTTCGGGCGAAAAATTAAGTTTCTCCAATCTTCTCAAAACTCTGGATTATGATAGAGGGCTGTGAGACTTTGACCTGAGTGCAAAAATGGAGGCTCTAGACCCTTCCAGAGCTGAGATATCGAAACTCAAAATTTCGACCCGAAAAAAAAACGACAGTGTTACCCCTTACGTTTTTTTTCATTTTCGGGCGAAAAATTAAGTTTCTCCAATCTTCTCAAAACTCTGGATTATGATAGAGGGCTGTGAGACTTTGACCTGAGTGCAAAAATGGAGGCTCTAGACCCTTCCAGAGCTGAGATATCGAAACTCAAAATTTCGACCCGAAAAAAAAAACGACAGTGTTACCCCTTACGTTTTTTTTCATTTTCGGGCGAAAAATTAAGTTTCTCCAATCTTCCCAAATTCTGATAGAGGGCCATGAGACTTAGACCTGAGTGCAAAAATGGAGGCTCTAGCCCCTTCCAGAGCTGAGATATCGAAACTCAAAAATTCGGCCCGAAAAAAAAAACGACAGTGGTACCCCTTACGTTTTTTTTTTTGGGCGAAAAATTAAGTTTCTCCAATCTTCCCAAATTCTGATAGAGGGCCATGAGACTTAGACCTGAGTGCAAAAATGGAGGCTCTAGCCCCTTCCAGAGCTGAGATATCGAAACTCAAAAATTCGGCCCGAAAAAAAAAACGACAGTGGTACCCCTTACGTTTTTTTTTTGGGGCGAAAAATTAAGTTTCTCCAATCTTCCCAAATTCTGATAGAGGGCCATGAGACTTAGACCTGAGTGCAAAAATGGAGGCTCTAGCCCCTTCCAGAGCTGAGATATCGAAACTCAAAAATTCGGCCCGAAAAAAAAACGACAGTGGTACCCCTTACGTTTTTTTTTGGGCGAAAAATTAAGTTTCTCCAATCTTCCCAAATTCTGATAGAGGGCCATGAGACTTAGACCTGAGTGCAAAAATGGAGGCTCTAGCCCCTTCCAGAGCTGAGATATCGAAACTCAAAAATTCGGCCCGAAAAAAAAACGACAGTGGTACCCCTTACGTTTTTTTTTTTGGGCGAAAAATTAAGTTTCTCCAATCTTCCCAAATTCTGATAGAGGGCCATGAGACTTAGACCTGAGTGCAAAAATGGAGGCTCTAGCCCCTTCCAGAGCTGAGATATCGAAACTCAAAAATTCGGCCCGAAAAAAAAACGACAGTGGTACCCCTTACGTTTTTTTTTTGGGCGAAAAATTAAGTTTCTCCAATCTTCCCAAATTCTGATAGAGGGCCATGAGACTTAGACCTGAGTGCAAAAATGGAGGCTCTAGCCCCTTCCAGAGCTGAGATATCGAAACTCAAAAATTCGGCCCGAAAAAAAAACGACAGTGGTACCCCTTACGTTTTTTTTTTTGGGCGAAAAATTAAGTTTCTCCAATCTTCCCAAATTCTGATAGAGGGCCATGAGACTTAGACCTGAGTGCAAAAATGGAGGCTCTAGCCCCTTCCAGAGCTGAGATATCGAAACTCAAAAATTCGGCCCGAAAAAAAAACGACAGTGGTACCCCTTACGTTTTTTTTTGGGGCGAAAAATTAAGTTTCTCCAATCTTCCCAAATTCTGATAGAGGGCCATGAGACTTAGACCTGAGTGCAAAAATGGAGGCTCTAGCCCCTTCCAGAGCTGAGATATCGAAACTCAAAAATTCGGCCCGAAAAAAAAACGACAGTGGTATCCCTTACGTTTTTTTTTGGGGCGAAAAATTAAGTTTCTCCAATCTTCCCAAATTCTGATAGAGGGCCATGAGACTGAGATAGACTGAGACAGAGCTGAGATATTGAGATATTCATAATGGCATAAATGCTACGAGGGATCTCAATATATCAGCTCTGGAAGGATCTAGAGCCTCCATTTTTGCACTCAGGTCTAAGTCCCATGGCCCTCTGTCAGAATCCAGAGTTTCAAGAAGATCAGAGCAACTAAAAAATTCGACCTGAAAAAATAAAAAACGACAGTGTTAAGGCCCGTACACACCGGGACGAATATCAGCGCGCGTTATTCGTCAGCGTTTTTCAACGCGTTTTTTGTGTTCACACCCAAGCGTTTTTCGCTGACGATGAGCTGAGTGAACATGCAAATTCATTCCCTGACATTAGATGGCGCTTAATGTAAAACAGAAATAATAATAGAATACTATACTAGGGTGATCATATTCATGTCTCAATGTTTTATTATGACAGATTAAAAAAACGAATGAAATAATGATAGAAATAATGTCCTCTGTATTAGAAAAATAAATATATAAATAATAACCAAAAGAAATGCCTCCAAATGTAACAAAAAATAGCTCTCACAAACTTACAAAAACTATCACAAAAACACAAAAACTACACAAACTAACAAAATCTATTTATATCTTTAGTTTTCACCCTCTTTATCCTGTTTTTCTTCCTCATCCACCTTGTTTGCTGCCCATCTATATTTTGCTGTAGAACTAATCTTTCCTAGCATTTTTTTTTTTTGAAAACCAGGATATTTTCATCACTTAAAAACAGCCAGGACGTGGAAACAGGACATGTGTAACGCAAAGTTGAGATGTTGCCCAGAGATAAAAACATAGCACTAGTTGTCGGATGAATAGATGCACGAGAGACGAGAGTTGTCGTATTTCCACGCGTTTAATAAAACCACTCAAACGTTACACTCGTCCTCATACATGGGGATCGAGCGAGAAAAAACCCCCACAAACAAACATCTGGCCACAATAGAAAAATAAAATAAAAGAAAGAATATAAAGAGTCGACAGAGAAGTTGTCTCCTCTCGTCAAAATCTACTGACACTACACTATGCGCAGTTCTCATCTCAACTCAGATTTCTATAAAGCACAAAGTGACCGTTTTACACATGTCCCGGGAAAACAGGACTGTTGGTCACCCTATACTATACTATTATTACAGAAATACTAATATAAATACTATCATATAGCTCTTTATGCTCCGAGACCAGCAGCTCAACATTCATCTTGCCCAGGTATCTAGCCTTGTAGGATATCTCTTCTTCGCCGTATGTGTACTCGGCAAGACCGTTTTGTGTTTGAACGCCCCCAAGTTGTGCTTTACTGTAACTTCAGAAGTACCAGACACGTGAGCAAACCCGACAATCTTGTTGGTCGGATAGGTTTTGACTCGGCACGTCAAACCAAAAAAACGAACCCGAGGCGTTTTTTTAAAAATGACGCTTTTACGCATGGCGTTTTTCGCGTCGGTGTGAACACTCACATTGGCGCCCATTGTTTAGTCACGAGGCGTTAAACGTTGACGAATATCACACGCGAAATTCGTCCCGGTGTGAACAGGCCTTTACCCCTGTCGTTTTTTTTTGGTGCGAAAAAAGTTTCTCCAATCTTCTTGAAACTCTGGATTCTGATAGAGGGCCATGGGAATTAGACCTGAGTGCAAAAATGGAGGCTCTAGACCCTTCCAGAGCTGAGATATTGAGATCCCACGTAGCATTTATGCCATTATAAATATGTCAATATCAGTAAAAAAAAATCAGTAATAATGGTTTATATAGTCATGGAAACCATTACAGAAATTCTATTGGATTTAATGGTTTTCATGGGAATTATAGTGGTGTCTGTGGGTCTCCGCTGTAGTGGTTTAAAAGGTAAAAGCAAATGTTTCTTATTGGTATTTTAATCAAAACCATTAGAATTTATGTGATGGTTTCCAACTTTTTTGAAGCTGGTCTGATCTTCTGTCTTTGTCTAAAGAAATACACATCATGCTTAATGTTTTATTGTCAAAGTGAACACATGAAATTCTTCAGTATCTGTAAAATTCATCTACATAAATGAGTTTCACAGTAGGCCTACTAACACTGTTTCAGCTTTGATGGATTCGGTAAACTCATCATAAACGGGCCGTTAATATACACGGCTACTTGCATTTTATGGTTGTCAGCTTTGTTGCATTACATTTACTTCACCAGGAGATGGTGCTGTAATTTCTATCTGAATGAAGCTTCCAGTAATGAACCATTTTCGACATAATTGTATCAGAAAGCAATAATGCTTCGAAACGCTTCATTTGGCCATCACTACCCCTGAGTCTATAGCACCAAAGCGCCATCCCATAATTCCACTGTCCATGAACACACTTTTTGTCCAATAACCCAATATTTTTGAAAAGTACTAACCCTGGCCTTCATGCAATAAGCTGCAAATGGACAGAATCCCGCCTGCAATCTATTGAATGAGGATTTGGGTATTTTTATAATGGCATAAATGCTATGTGGGATCTCAATATCTCAGCTCTGGAAGGGTCTAGAGCCTCCATTTTTGCACTCAGGTCTAAGTCCCATGGCCCTCTATCAGAATCCAGCATTTCAAGAAGATTGGAGAAACTTATTTTTTCACACACAAAAAAAAAAAAAAAACTACAGGGGTAACACTGTCGTTTTTTTTTTTTTTTGGTCGAAATTTTGAGTTTCTCTCTACGGCCCAAGGACGGAATGGACCTTTTTTCGGTCTTGGACTAGCTAGAGGTAAGCTAAAACATATGAAGAGTTCAGATGCAAAAGCCTCTAAATGCCATTTGAAATTTTCTTCTAGAATGATGATTTTTATCAAGCTTGTATATTTAAGTTCAGTAATTTCACTTAAATGACAATTAATAGGTAATCTCCATTGCCATTTAAGTGAAATTACTGAACTTAAATATACAAGCTTGATAGAAATGATCATTTTAGAAGAAAATTTCAAATGGCACTTAGAGGCTTTTGCATCTGAACACTTCATATCAAAAATTAATTTCAAAGTGAACTATCCCTTTACAGGAATTTGATTAAGGGTTCGTTCAAGTCATGTTGGAAAGATCGCTTTTACAAGTACTGTTAGATGCACATGAACGGAAACACACATTTACATTTATTCATTTATCTGACACTTTTTATACAAAGCGACTTACAATTGCTATATATGTCAGAGGTCTTACGCCGCTGGAGCAACTAGGGGTTAAGTGTCTTGCTCACAGTAGATTCAAACCCGGGTCTCTCACACGAAAAGCGTGTCTTATCCACTGTGCCATAACCACCCCAAAAAACCCCACATAATTATGAGTAAGAAACAAGACTTCGAATTGGAGCTGTGCTGAGAAAACATGGCGGATGCTATAGATATGGATGCAGAGTCTGTACTTTACAGTAAATTTGTTTAAATTAATAACATTTTTTTTATTTACAATAAGTTGCATGTACATAATACAACCGTATTGTACATTTACAATTTAATATAAAGATTCTTTTTACAGCGCCTTCATGAATTGAATAAAATCACAAAAAAGCAAAAACACACCTGATGTGCAAGACATCATTTTTGTAATGTAGAAAAGGTACATGAACATGCTCTGATCAGTGTAAATACCTCCCATATTGTAAATACGAACTTCCCAGAAGGGCTTGAAAGCACTTACCGAAGTGAATTGGCTGCTGTTTTCACAAGCTCTGTTGGTGAATGTCTTGATGGTTTTATTATGCTGTTTCTAGCATGTCCTGATCATGGCGAAGATGATTTTGGCCTTCATGATCCCTGATGAACCGGATTGGGTCCGAATCAAGAGAGAACAAATCGAGTTTCACTCGATGCAAGCGCTTAAGAAACAGGTACCACTTTTGCTAACTTAGTATTTTAGCATTCTGCTACATTGTTTAGCCATGCATATTACATTTTAAGTTTTTGTTTACATAACACAAAGGTGGGAACAAAGTGTAGCTGTAAGTTATTATCATGCCTGTCATTTACAGCAATATTTTTCCAATTAGTTAATAAAGCTGACGGAACGCTAATGTTATTTGTCTTTATTACTTTATGACTCAATTTAATTTTGTTTCTCGTGGTTCATCGAGACTAAAGGCATCATGTGATTAAACAGTTATTTTAAAATCTAATGTGTGTTATGGACTGTTTACGTAACCAAAAAAATGTCATTAACTTTTTCTCCCTCAGAGGATCAAGAGCTCTCGTGTGGATGATAAACTCCCTCCGAAGGCCAAAATGGGAGAGTGACAAAGGACTATTTCCATGGAGACAATCACAAAAGAGGAGGTGCTTGGCCATGCAGTCACATCACTTAGCTACTGTATACTTAGCTTGCTAATGTACCATATGGCACAGTTTACCAAAGATAACTTCTACAGTTTACAGGGTTTATAGTTAAAAATTGTTTGCATCAGTGGTACCTTTTTGATAACAGATGATTAAGGTCAAGATGAAAAAATGATGATAGTGGGTTAACAACATAGACCCATTATGTGCTGTATTAATGAATTTAAAATAATAGTTCACCTCAATCACTATGGTATAGTATTTTCCCGGTTGCTGTTCTTTTTGTATATTTGCTTTCTCATTTTTTTTGTAAATATATTGACAATTTTAACTGTTGTATTTTAAATGTCATCAAAAAGGATCGTGCTCTTACAACCGGTATAAATAACCACGCAATGCTTGCTTCACTGAATGTCATATGAATGTATATTGATGTAAATGGCCTTGAAGAAAACTAAAAATAAATATTCAAATGGTTTTAAACTGAGAAAGCCACGTCATGCATCGGTCTTGTGCAAAGTCTTTGAAAAGAGAAAAAAATACAATGACACAAGGGCAGTTTAATCAGTTTTAATAAATAAATATAAAAATAAATTAATCTCATTGAGACAGTCATAATTTTAGTAAGGGTCAATGGGACTATAGACAAACCAAAATCCAACGGTCGTGATGTGATTACAGATGCTTTGAAAGATGGAGACCCATGTCAAATGAGTAACATCAAAATAATAAGAAAAAAATGCTGATTACGAAAATATAATGCACGTCTGGCTTTTATATCGCTCTGCCATCCAATTGGTTCTCACAAAACATCGCAGGTCAGGATGGTTTTTCCTAGTTTAAACTTTGTATGGGAATGAAAATTCAAATTTCACGTTACATAGATCTAATATAACCCTCAATATCTCTCCCCAAAGCACCTTTTTATTCTTTGTCTTTTATTCTATTCCCCTATTCTTGTGCATTTGGTCAAGCTTATTCATGGTCCAAGATATTGCAAAAAAAAAAAGAAAAAGTATAGGCTTATTCGACATTTACATTTACTAAAGTATGACAAAAAATAATTAATTCACCAGTGAAAGGTGTACTATGTATAGCACAGAAACTTACAAACTTGTGAAGTGACTGAATAACTTTGACGTCCTTTAGAGTACCAAAGTAACAGTAACCACAGTCACACCGCCCATATAAATGTTAATGTGATCGTGTTTAGGCTGTTTAGGAGGTAAAAACAACAGTAACCGCTAGCTTCACTCATGCCATTACAACACACGAAGGCTGGATTTTAAACTAGGCTCAGCTACGCAATTTAGCTTTATGATATCATACAGCTCTTCAAATGCATTTATGATCCATATAATCTTTGTCGATCATCAAACTAGCGTCATAAAAGTTGCTACGTTCATTGAATACGATCTAACATGGAGGGATTGAAATGTTCGAATGGATACGGTGCAAGGGTCAAAATACAACATCATACCAATAGCATAACGTTAAAAAAATATATATACACTGTACATAATATATGGATATTTCAAAGAGCTTATACCCATACATACAACATATGTTAAAAATGTACCCAAAGGCAAATGATTAAACAAAAATAGATGTTCAAATGTTATGTAATTAATCTCCCTCACATATCTCATGTTAAAAAAAAGATGTCTTTGATGTCTTTGTCACCATCTTTCTAAAAAACCCTTGATAACTCTCTAAAATTTGATAAAAGCTTCAAAATATTTCCAAGAATTAGCAGTTTTAAAACAAACTCCAAAATACTGCTCCAGGAAGACCAGTCTTCTGTTTTTGTGTAACATTATGTCCATTTCACAAAAAAGTCTCTAGCTATAATCTCTCAGAATAATCTCTGTTTGAGCCCTCTTCTTCTTTTTTTTTTTTTTTTGGAAAATATATCACAGATATACTTAGCATCTTTCCCTGGTCAATCCCCCAGCTCACAAAATGCTAATGTTATGCTAAGCTGTTCTCATTTAGCATGCTTTCATAACCATGCTCCCAAACTGCTCACTGTATCAATGTGGCAAACTGTTCTGCTTCCTGTCCCACTGCCTGATAGTGAAGGTGCAATCTAACATGCTAGCACGAGAATTAGCAACTTCATCAATGCCACAGAATGCAACTTAAACTACGTTGCCTCACAGTTACCGGCAAAAACAATCTAAATGAATGACTAAAAACTTGTTAGGACTACTGTACCGACTAAGTGGCAAGTCCTTGAGCCTAAATGGCCTCTATTGTGATTGCTCACCGTATGTTCTCGTGTTGCCTTTTTCTGTGTCACTGTGAAGAATGGTCACTCAGTCACTCGTTTATCACTAAACTCTGTGGAACACATAATGTGGTTAAGATATTACAGTGCAAAATGACAAGTTATTGAATTAAAGCTTCTACGCTAGCAAGACATATGCTACTTCTAATAAACTTCTCTGAGATAGCACAGAATATAGTCAGCAGTGTCAGTAGATACAGGTGTTCATATACACAGCATTGCCAAAAGGTTAACTGTCTCACAGGAAAGCAGCAATGAATGCTGGGTAGGGAAAGAAAATAATAATATACAATTAGTAGATTGAGTGGGAAAGCACCTCTGAGGTTACAGTATGAGGTGAGAACACACTTATTCTTTTAGTGTCCAGTAAGTTGCAGATATTTGAGGGCTTCTCATGCCAGTTTGTTCTTTGATCTCGGGATCCGATCTCTACAAGACATGGCAGCAGTTGTACTGTGCAAATGGTAGAAGCTTCTCTTTAGAGGTGGGCTGGATGTTGAAGGACAAGGCTTTCTCACAGAGCGGGAACTGTAGCAGACGTTCCCGCAAGTTCACGTTCTTGACCTTGCTGGGATCGGCCCGAATAGCAGAGTCAGTACTTGTGTCCCTGGTTCCCTGGAGGCCTTTCTGAGGTTTAGGTTGTACCTCCTCAGTTTTCTCGACTTCAGCCGCAGTCTTACGCAGCTCCACCCCATCGGGACCCGGGTCCACACAGTGGTTCCTTGGCAGGGACCTCGGGGAACCACAAGGTGTTGACACCACCCCAACCTCGAGCAGTCGAGATTTGGCTAGGGTATTATTGTTATTTTCTAGTGTGTCCTTTGAAGGTTCACGCTGTCCCCAGCAGCACTGTACAACATCTAATGTGGGAGCTGGTGGATCTTGAATCTGTTCTCCCTCTTGCTCATCTAAAGACAAGCTAGGGTGGGTGAAAACATCCTTGCCCCTTCCTCTACCTGGTTGTTCTGTGTGGTTCAACTCTTCCACATGGGCTTCAGTCTTCAAGGGCATCTCTACCTGATGTTCTATGGTGCCAGAAGAGACTAATTCTGATGGCTTCTTCTGCTCTTCTGCTAATTCCGATCGTTCATCAAGTTCCTCCTCCTCGGCCAGAGTTTCACAGTTTCCCGTCCCCTTACTTGACGGCACCCCTGTTCTCCTCTGAGTCTCTGATTGCAAAGGTATTCTAGAAGGTTTCAATGATAGATCTGTTGAAGGAAACAGACCCAGTTTACCAGGTGCCACCTCAAGCTTCGCCTCATCTTTGTTCTGCTCCTTTTCATCGTCCTCTTCTTCCTCTTCTTCCTCACAGATCTGCTGTAAGGCTCCAAGGCTCTTGACAGTAGGTTGGTCTGGAGGTAGAGGGCGCAAATTGAGGCTCAAGCATGGAGCTGTGCTGCAAAAGTCACTGAATGAGTTGTCATGACGGTTGGGTTTGGGAGCCAGCAGGTCCCCAGACTCGCTCACACCACGTCGGACATAGCCAGAAGACAGAGAGCCAAGAGGCGCTAAGGGACCCATAGGTGCTCCTCTTAGTGTGTCGGTCCTGGGCACTTGGCTCACCAAGTCCAGTGGTTCCGACATGGGTCTCCTGTAGCGGGAGGAAATAACAGGACTCAGCACAACGTATAAAGGACCTGTAGGTTATGTGGTAAGATTAAGTAAGTAAGAACCAAAATTATCCAAAATATGTTTAAGAATTCTGGGACTTACTGTGTATGTCTTTGTTCAGGAGTGAGACTTGACTGCTCTTGCTTTTCTCGAAGGAGTCGCTCTCCCAGCAAGTAGTACGTGGCTGTGATGTGGTTATATCGGTCAGCCTCCAAAGCTCTATGACACAAAAATGTATTTGTACTATTAACTTATAGAACTGTATTCTACGACCAGAAGAAAATGTCCAAGAGGTATAAAGAGATACCCACTCCTGGATGGCATCTCTGTCAGCAATGCTGCCACTGGTCATGGCTTGGAGTATGAACTCATGCTCTTCGGGTAACAAACTGCGGTGAGAGGTAAGCGGGGCGGCTGTGTATCCGGCAGGCGAAGGGTCAACACCTTGCAACCAAGGGTGGCCCTCTATCTCTGTGAGAGACGCCCGCTTAGCAGGATCCCTCTGCAGCATACGTGAAATCAAACTGAAAGGGGAAAAAAAAGAAAGTAAGAGGAAGAGAATGATGAGATATTGTTATTCCTTTTTTTGCCAGTGCAGAACGAGCACATTAGACATGACCTTCTGTGGCGAAATAAGAAAAATCCCATCATCTCAGATAGGCTTGATTTTGTCACCCTTCATCACACTTGCCTCCATCTCACTTCATTTCAGTCTCACTCTACTTGCAATTTTCATACTTTCCTTTTCTAGCAATCTTAATAAATATTCTCTGCCTGGCTGACAGACGATGATTGCACAGGCGCATCTTGCCATCAGTGGAGACGGAATGAAAAGGAAGTGCTTATCTTTCTGCTGATTAATATTCATGAGCACCTGCAGAGAATTGGTGCTTCAGTGAGGCGAACTGAAAGAATATGGTATTGGTAGGAACACTTGCGAGCCAAGCTTGCTTGTGTATGTGTGAATGCACTGCATCCAGCTTGTTTATTCAGGGCATTTGAGTGTTTTATTTCACTGCGGTACTGGCACACGTTCCTGCATCTCACGTAGCTGACCAGCAGGGGGAGATGTTTTCCCTTTCAAAGTGTTTTTTTTTTTGTGCGTGTTTATAATCCCACATGCTCCATTGCCCTTGAACATCAGTGGAGTCTCTTGATGTGTTTAACCTCAAGACCTTAAATAGCCGTGAGGAAGAAGGGTGGAAAAAAGCAAACTACAGATAAACAGCAAGATGAAAGTCTGCCTAAAGACACGAGCGTTCTTCTCCTCAAAGAAACCTCTTCACATTAAAGGAGGCTTTTGATTGTGGTGGAGATCGTGTGACTCAGTCACTATGTTTGGCTGTGCAGTCAAGCCCAGATGTCGAACACAAACTTGTACGCACACTCTTGCACAATTGCCTGATTCAGACCTAAAAGCCTGAGAGCTGTTGCTTTGGGGATGTTCTGACTACAAATAGCCTAGAATAAACCCACTTAAAAATAACTCAGACAAAATGCAGCCTTGTGTGAAGATCTGGTCACTTTAGAGCTGTGGTGAACACACTTAAAAGTAGGCTTGTGCACCTTTCAAAAGTGAATTGAGATTGGTTTC